GAATATAAGATCATATTATTTAAAATCAATGGACTACGCGTAATCGTTTAGGAACGTTGACCGAATCACTGTGTAAAAATAATAATAAAACAGCCCCATGTATTTGTATGCCTGTAATAATATCACTTTATGCGAGCAGCATATTCGATTAAAAAATATGAAATATTGTAATTTGTGATATCTTTACGACCGTTTGGATTTTATTATCATTTATCGAGTAATCCACAAATTGTTTACTTCCAAGCTATCGCATGATGTCGCATGCATACAAGTGTATAGGTAGGTGGGAAATATTATATTATACCATTTATACCTCCTTGGTCCCTACTCTCCTATACCTACAGTATAGCATTTCACTACTTCTTAGTTCTTACTTCATTTTATAATACTGTAAATTGTAATAACTGATTGTTTAACACATTTTTAGAGTCATATAATATGCTATAATAAGGACTATTGTCGAAACCATTATTTGAACCTAAAAAATAAATTCACAAACTATTGTTCGTTCATATTGCTTGCGGCATTGATAATAATAGTTATAAAAATCAAATAAATAATGTCGAAACGATTAGGTATCCATAATATGGTAAATGGTATTATGGTAATAAACAAATTAATACGAGTATGTAATGGTACATTATTAAAATACGATTATTAAAATATAATGATAATATTAACATTTTACATTTAATCGTCGGTATAAAATATAATGTTGCCCAAATATTTTTAAATATATATTTTTTATTATATATATTATTATTTAATATCATAGGAAATAGAGTGGTATACATTTATAATAATTAGTAAGTATATTACACAATAAACGTGCTCATTGCGGACATTGCGCATCTGTGTACATTTTATGTCAAGCTTAAGATGTTAGGTGACCATTAATTACTTTTCTGCGAATGGTTTCTACTTAAAAACCCTCCCATATTAATCGATGACGATGTACTTACTTTAATCGTTGTTATATAATCATTTATGTATAATATGTCTGCATAGCCGAATCTGAAAGATTTTTCAATATTATAAAATCAATTCTATAGGTATAATATATTATAATAATATGAAATACAATGCTGGGTAAAAAAAATTAAAAAACAAAATGTAATTCGTTTCTTATAATTTCCAACTTGTACCTATACGTCCTATACTTTTATATTTATTAGTAATAATTATTACATAATATTACATATCACCAAATTCGTCTTTACGCCTTAATGTCTTGTATAAGATATATTTAGGTACCGAATAAGTTCAATCTAAAATAACCTAACCTGGAGAAGTATGCATACGATTAACGAAATCACTAATAAGTACAAACAATCGACTATTTCAATGAATATAGTTAGGTACCTACCTACCTAATCATTTGTTACCTTATTGATACAATGTCTCTCAACAAAACTCTATTGGTAGATTTTAATAGTTTCTGTTATGCCTTATAATATTTTCATTAAAGAAATCAGAATAACTCATTTTTTTTCAAGTGAAGATTTCCTTTATTGGCCATCGTAAAAAGCTTTACCAGAATATATCAAAAATATAGTGGTTACCATTTGAAAAAATAAAGTAGATTTTATTATTGATACGTACTGCGTGTTTAAACATTTTGAAAATTTTATGAAAAATTTTCTGTTAAAAATAATGAAACATTTTTTTTTTTTTTGTTTTAACGAAATTCCATAATATCGTCGATTCATAATTGTCGAAAAAAAACTCGCGTATACAACGACATAAGATACACCTTATAAATATATTTTTGTACAGTAAACAATAATACAATAATATAAAGTTGTTAATATGTAATGATTATCACATATTATTATGCAATTATTTTGAAGTTAAAGTTGAAAGGGGGCCCACTAAGTGTATGGTGTCCCGGGGCACAAATCCGGGCTTGCTGACCAGGTCTTCTTGTTTTCGCCCACTAATACCTTAGTATAATATGTGTGCGATGTACGACACCGACATTTCAAACATTATCAGTAATTTAAAACTAAATTATAAGATATAGCTTAGTGGCAACAAGTTTCCTAAACAACAATGCCGTAAATATGGATTATGAGGAAGTGCTAAGTAAAAACGCCGTATATGAAATAAAATTTAAGGAAATCTTCCTTAACAAACAGTGGTTACGGCGTTTTGGCACTTTTTGCTAAGCACCGATTATACTGAATTGCAATTGCGGCAATATTGTTTTGTTATAAACATACTTTTCAGGATAAATAACCATAGTTATGGCATTTTTGTATAGGAAAAACCTGTAAAACTGTAATATTAAACTGTAATACAGTATATAAACTCATTTTACAATGGTGTTTATTTTTTTTTTTTATCCTGGATACAAAATTTCTATCAGAAGGAGTGCTTTGATTTCAACCCATAGTATCTTATATTTTAGATAATTGGACCAAGTAGGTACTTTAGAGAGGTCCTTTTTTCGATTTTCTCAATAGTTATTTAATGCCACTGGAAAAACCACCGACAAATTACGAAAAACCGATAAAAACAAGATTTTAATTTCTAACGCTTTGTGTATCACCATAGAAACGAATAAAAATAACGATTTTCGTTATTTTGTTGTAATTTATAATATTAATTCAACTTACGTCTTACAGGCTATAATAAAATATAATAACAATATAAAATATCCAGACTGACAAACTGTCTCCGCTCAGAACCGTTTTTCGTATACAATGATATAATATCATTGAATTCAATTTTAATACAATCCATTATACAGTAACCCACTTGTAACCTACTGTACAGCAGAGTGACATACACTTACTCATTTTTTCAAATTGGTTTTTTACCTATAAATTTTTTTCTTATACCTCAAATATCAATTATGGTTAGGTACATACAATTTATAGTTTTGTAAAATCACTTTTAAGAAGTTTTAGCCTTATTACATACATTTTGGTAACTCAGAAACTACTCGTTAGAATTTTGATTTAGATATATTAAAATGTCCAAAATATAATCATCCGCATTCCGCGGATTAACAGTTTAAAGTAAAAAATTTGGTTCTCATCTGAAAAAAAAATAAGTCTGTACATGTCACCACGGTACACGCGTCGTCTCAGAAGTTATAAAAAAAATCCAATGTTAAAGTATTTCTATCCAATAGTCATCTATATGGTCCTCGAGTATTCTTAAAAACTTCAAAAATCAGAATTCAAATAAATTCATCGTTAAAGCGGAAAATGGGGGTGAGCGTGCTTGGTAAATTCAACCTGTATGCGTGAATATTGAATACCAACCTATATATTACATATGCACACAACACGAACCGTGTTCAATGTTCATGTGTATTTTGTTCCGAAACATGTCGTCAGTATAGGTCGGTGAAAAGCGACGGTTACGTACAACAAAATAATAATATAATTTGTGCACAAGTCATGGTCGCCGCGGGTGCCGATCGCCGATCACAGACATTACGCAGCCGCCGACGGAGAAGACCCACAGCCGATGTAAACGGTAATTTTCAAACAAATTGTCTTAACACTAATAATTGGTTTAAAACCCAGCAAGAGCCAAGAGTAGATATCCGAAAAATCGGTCAAGTGTTAATAATAGACGAAAAAAAAATAATACAATTTTCAAAATTCAGAAAAAACTCTTCAAACACAAATAACAAAAGTATATACTGATATTGAGTAATAATAGTACTATAATATATTTGTTGACAAAAGATGCTCACGGTTGCGGAACGATACCTATATTGTGTACAGAGTGGTGTCGTTATAAATCATAATACCTACTCGTGTATTATAATGTAGGTATAAGGTATAATGGGCACGCTTAGTATGTATATAATAATGTGATGAGATGGTTTTTTTGAGATAAAGTCGTAAAGGTACGTCAACCAAAGGTAAACACGTGCAGTGCTTTTCGAATATTGAGCATCGTCCCGATTGCTATATTATAATAAGTTATATAAAAAACAAATATCCTTGAATTTGCTGTTTGTATATAATAATATACGAGGAAGCTTAACAATATTTAGTCGCATGTCGTATACTCATACGGTAGTAGTAGGTACAATTATTATTATAATAGTATGATGGTTACTAACCATAAACGTCGATGAGATCACAATGGTTACCACTTGCCCATAGCCACTGCAGCACTATAATTATAAACGTTACCATATATATAATACCTATATATATTATACGCTTGCCCTCACTTGATAAATTAAAAAAATATTGAACGAATTTGCCAGACCGTCTCGTATTTAATAACAATAATAATTATATAAATACCTTTATATTATAATAATAGTTATTATATTTAGTATAAAAAATAGTAGACAGTAGTAGTAGTATACTAGTATAAAGTATAAAACACGGTTATGTTGAAGATACGTGTCTGGTATAACTTAGAGTCTGTTCAACTATAAAATTGTCTGCGAGTCTGAATTACAATAACAAACTCTTAAACACATGTGTTTGGAAAAACCCAATGGAACGACAACCGGAACCACGAATATAATATAATATATGGCATAATATGTAATATACCAAGTCCAGAGACCAGAGTGGTGGAATAAACCTATGGGTAGCTCGACATGGCCCCCGGCCACGAGATCCAATCTGGCCGAGTCTGCACCAGAACTCTAGCCGGACAGACAACACAGGCAGCTAACGGCTAAGGCCTCACCTCCCTCTGCTCTCGCGTAGGTTTGCGCGCGCAAAAAAAAAATTCCGAGCCCGCGGAGACACGCGGCGGCTAACGAACCGCCGCCGCCGCCCGTTTGTACGGATCCTCGAGTATACCGACCACCCGACGCGTATCAGTCTCCACAAACGTCTGACGCGGCACGGTCGTCGTAGCGCGCAGCGATAAAATAATATCGATGGTATCGATTCGCATATTTTATATCGCGTAACGTACTTATACGAAGTGCCGTTTGACGGTCTACACTCAATATTATACTGCATACGTGTCGAGCACGAGAGTCGATAAATCACACGAAATCGCACGCGATGAAAACGTTACTCTGGTGCTGTTGTTGGGCGCTGATGTTCGCGTCGGCGATGCGGCCGTCCCTGGCCACGCCGACGACGACAAACAGCTCGTCCGCGGAACAACATCAACGTAGATTGCACGACGCCGGAACGTCTCAAAACTCCACAGCCATTACGACGTCGTCCCCGGTGGACGGAGTCGGTGACGACGACAACGGCAGTCGGGCCTCTGACTCGGGAGAGTTGACCGGTGGTGACCGCGGAGAAGACGACGGCGGCGGTGGTGGTGGTGGTGGCGTCGTTAGCGCCGACGGCATCACCGCTAGCGACCGGGTGTCCGAACTCTACGAGGACCTCGAGGATTCTGTGGTGTTTGAAGACTCGGACGGCCACGGCCACGACGGCGGTGTGTCAGCTGACGACGCTGCCGCGGATCACCAGCTGCCGCTGACCGACGTCGGACCGGTGCCGGCCAACGGCGGCGAATCGTCTGCGTCCGCCGAGGAGTACGACGCGGCCGCCGAGGACGCATCGCCCGCCGGCACCAGCCCCGTCGGCCACGTCCTGCAGCGGTCGGTCAAGTATCCCGAGTACGTGCGGTCGTCCAGCTACCGGCGAGGGTGGCCAGGCGGCAACGTCACCCGGCCCGAAGAGCTTTTCCGATTCTGGGACCCGTACGAGTTGACGGCCACGCCTGCCGTGTCGTCCCTGTGTACCGAGCACGTGCATCTCTACCAAGCAGCCCTGCGCAACGGCAAGATGTGGGCATTTAAAAGTGAGTGCATTGCCAATTAATTATAATTTATTATAACTTAATAAATATAATTCGTTAATCGCGCTTATATAGTATAGTAATAGATCGAACTAAATTATCTCAATTTTCGATTACCCATGTCCAACATATTATATGCGATTAAAAGACGTTAAATTTGTTATTTATTTTCATTGTTTTAAATGCCAGTTAAATCTGTTAATATGTAGAAGATAAGCCCTCTTTCATGATCATTGTAAAAATAACTTATCGGTTTCTTATGTACGTGCTAAAATTTCTTTAGGCTTTTCAGCCAAACTTTGCAAGTACAAGTGAGAATCGATTATAGGCCGACCGCTGGTGGGTAGTTTTTTTTTCTTTTACACTCATAAGGATTACTTACTTGTCGTATTTAAAAAGACGCTCGCTCATGCTATCTCGCTGTTTAGTAACTACAGGTCAAAATGGGTAACATAGAAAATTTATGTTCTGCGACTAATATTTCGTTCCTTAAGTTTTAATGTTAGGGAAATAAACACTATTGCATTGATTTTTAAACACACGATTTCATCGAACGACTATTTCGTTCCTTAAGTTTTAATGTTAGGGAAATAAACACTATTGCATTGATTTTTAAACACACGATTTCATCGAACGATATAAACAATTGATTTAACACTTTTTATTATTTTTATTTATTTCCACATTTTTCAAAATTTTTAAATATCTCATTTATGGAATAACTTTTTTTAAATCAACTATGTGTTATAACCACATGAAAATGCACTTGACTTATGAAGTTATGACTTATATAAATAATAACTTTTATGAGGAATTTTCGAGTTCCGAAAAATTTTTAAAGATTATAGTAAATACGTTTATATAACAGATTACGACTATAACAATCGTATACAAAAATAAAAATAATATAACCATCCTATTCAAAGATTATTTATAATTCTTATTTTTATCCTTGATTTACCTACATAGGTAGAAGAACGTTTTTAAATGCATAAACATTTCATAAAAACTTAATGAACCAATCACGGTTTAACTGTTTTAGGACTTTATATGTACGTATAATGAGCCTTTATTGTAATTTACATAAGTCTAGACTCGTAAAAATAAAAAGTATAAATCTGTTGTCAACAAATAGAATATTTATATTATGTATTATTTTATTTAATTGGACATTGGTACCTACTTTCATTTGAAATAATATAAAATAGATTTTCTCTTATTATACTCAAAAAAGATTTTTACTTAAGATTGACAACATAATGGCAAGTTAAATATTTTGAATTTTGAAATCTGTATAATGTAAAGACAATAACTGTCAATAATTATTATTCTTCTCTTATAATTATATTTAGATGTGTGATGTATATATACAAAATACCTAAACATCTAAATATCAAAACTTTGTTTAGGAATGTACCTAGGTATTTAGCTAAGTAAAATATGGACAACTAAATTTAAAAACAACCATGTGATAAAAAACAATAATCAAATTAAATGAATGTTGGTCATTGAAACAATTACCTATATCAGAAGTTTAAAAATTGTATGAAAAGAGTAAAAACCTAATAAATGGATTACATTTTGGCGTTTCAAGAAAAATTAAACTTATTTAAGATTTAAAAAAATTAAAACGTGAGACATGAACTCGGAACTTTCAGCTATAAATTTATAGTATAAATCGTACAAAAAAAAACCACAATAAATACTTGAATTTCATCAATTTTGTATTTATGTGTTTAATGTGTTTTCTTAGCTGTATTAAAACCTTAGGTCATAATTGTATATGATCTAAGATTAACACAATCGTTTATGTTGAGTTTTCAAACAAGATGATTGACCTGTAATAATACAACGTAATATTAAATTAATCCTATCTATACCTATCATACTATATAATTTATATAGCGGTACAGATAGAGGAAACAATATTGTAAATTGTTGCACAGCAGTGGTTAATATGCATTTATTTAATCGTTAATATAAGTAGGTAGTCATTGCTGACAAACTATTATATTGTAATTATTAGTTTGAGAGGTGTGAAGTACTTTGCCCCTCCCCACAAAACAAAAAAAAACAGTCATATTGGTTTCAATCACTTCAAGAGCCACTGATTTATTCTAGTCTATAAGAGTCCCATTTCTTTTTATATTTTTCAATTCGAAGACTGTACCTATAGTGTACCTATATAATAATATTTAGGTCGTCGGCCATCGCAGCCTTATGTAATATAATATAAGTAGTATAAACACTAAGCACACAATACAATAATAAAATAATTAATAGGTATTATTCAGTCGGATCTCTAGTGATAAAATAATATACCTATTGGATAATATTATTATTATCGTCCATCTATTGTGTTATAGCCATATGGACGCATAATATATATGATATTCAAAGTCTCAGATGAAATCAAATGTGTATGTTTTATATACAACTCACCAATTTTAAAGGTCATACAATATCGATGTGATGAAAACTTCTCAAACATGAAAAGTTTAACAATTATCACGTTGAAATGAATACCATTTATTCAAAATACTTGATTATAATTTATAATACTCACATTCCAATGTCTGTCAGCTATATAATACATTTATTTTTATAAAATATTATACATGTACCTATACATTTTAGAAATTATAATTTTACATTGCACTATAAACTGATGGATACATTACACTTTAATATGACCGCAACTAGGTTAAAATTATGATGAGAGATTTAAAGCGTCCATAAAAATGATTGTCCATATTTGTTATGCCACTACATGCATTTGAAAAGCTTAGCCCCAATACGAACTTAAGGGACAAAGGGAACTTCTTGCCCCCGTCTTAAATTACACATATAGGATAGTATTGTAATTTTTAGATCGATATATTAGTAAAAAATGTGGCCTGGCCAAACAAATAATAAGTTCTCTTAGGAAATTTGGGACACGGGGCTAAATTTTTTATGTCAAGGGGCTTAAATTATAAACTCAGTTTTTTTGCTAAATTGATTTTTTTTTTAATCAATTTATATGGTAATTCTATAAGTATAATTACTTAATTATGTTGATTGATATAAATAAATCGTATATGCCCGTATTACAGTAATATATATGGGGGCCGCAGCTGCAGCCTCGTTGGCCCCCCAGCCAACCCCAGCCGGGGACTAAGTAGGGCTCGGGTAGGTTGTGACGGAATTGCAAGTGTGCGTGTGTGCGCGTTGAGTCGGAGAATCTAAAACAAATTAAAAAAAAAAAAACAGAAACAAAAACAAACAGACGCCGTTTAATCGCGGATACTATAATATACAATATTATAATACGAGTGTAATAATATGATGGAAACGACTTCGGCGAAACCGAACGCACACTTTAACACTTATATTATTGAGTGTGACCACCCGCGACCCGCTGCCGTGGGTAATTCGATTTTCGTGGGCCGGACGAGTTGGGAAATCGAAAGTGTGGCCAATTAACAAGGACCCCATTTCAAATGGCGCGTGTCACATTCGTCATCACGGTCAGTGCGTATAATGTATAATATTATTTGTATGTGCTGTGCAGCGGCGCCGTTAGGTACGTATATATTCGACGCGAATCGAACGCGATTCGACATACGGTAATAGGTATATATAGGTACATTATGATATTATAAGACAATAATATAGGCAACGTATTTGTTGTATATTAAATTGTATATCGCATAATATACAGAGTTATCCATTTATCGTAAGACACTCAATATTAAAGTTTTTGGAAATATTTTTCTACATAATCTCAAGTCATAAAAAACAAAAGTTTCCTAATAAATATTATTTTTTACTATTTTTACTTTTTTTTTTAATGACAACATGCATTGTAATCCCATAAAGGCGGCTAAAGCAGAATATATTTTGGAGTACTTAGATATTATATAAAAAATCTAATTGTTTAAAAGTACCTTTCGAGTTATAGTTATTTACAGACTTAAAGTTTAGATGATCGAAGTGAGGAGTTTTACTTGGGTACCTACCATGCAGAATTTCAAAAAGGTTGTACTATTACTCTGTTGCTCTAAACTTTAAATACCTACAAACAACTAATACACTTTAATAAATGTCTGAAATTAGGTTTTTATAGATCTAAATAGGTACTCCGAATAATATACTGCTTCGGAATATTAAATAAAAATGTATGCAGTCATTCAAAATAGCAATAAATCTTAAAAGTGTTGTTTCGTAATGACGTAAAATTATCTTCCTAAAACGAAATAAATTTATATTTTCTGTAAAAACATTAATACTTGTCGAGATAATGAGTGTGTTTTGTGTTTACCGATGTATAATCAGCCCGTATAATATATCTGAGGTACTCGAATATTGTATTGGATATTTTGAATACTTAGCTATAAAATATATCGTATATTCGTATATGTCCGAATGATTTTTTTTTTCGTTCTTGTCCGTGTAAACACGCACAAGAAAAAAATTCCCATTCACGATATGCATAGGTATATAATATTTTATTTGTTACGCATAACATATAACTGTAAGAATTTCGTATAAACATAGTCGAATGTGTTATACCTATACAACACAATGAGTAAACATATTTTCTGATTTGCCACATTTGCTGGTTGTAGAACGAACTCGAGCTGAACCACCTGTACACTATATACACTATATGCAGCACGAGAACTACCATAATAGATCGACCCTCGATTGCCATATAAAATATCAGCAGAGTGATGAAAAAGATGAAGTCTGCAAACTGGTATATATTATGATAATGTATTCAAATGCTAGTAAAAATATTATGACGAGTGGTATTTGGAAAAAATATCCTGTACTTACTGGAATATTTAACGAATAAATTATTCAAGTTAGGAAGTTATCAAAGTTTCAACACATTTAAAATAAATGAATTTGTTAATGATTGCCAAGTTCCAGTGACAAATTATAAATACTAATCAAGTATACCTAAGGTAAATAATAATATTCTTTAGCGGATTAGGTAATCATTAATTTTTCATAAA